TCATGTGAATCGCCGAAGTAATTCGAGCACTCGCATGCGCCAGGGAAAGGTTACAAAACCATCTACTTGCAAAAAAGCAGCACAGCCGCTATGTGAACTGCAAGCATACAACCGCATGCTTGTAGAAAGTGAGTGACAAGATGTCCGGTGACTGAAAAAATATAACTCAGTACTCACTGCAGTGAGTGACAGAGAGCGCATTTTCTCGTCGACGAAAACTTGAGGTCACGGACAGACGGACAGACAGACAGACGGACATGGCGAGCACAATAGTGCATTTTTCCATAAATGAGAAAATGCGCTAAAAACCCACAAGGCGAAGTAGAGTGCGTGCAGAAGCACTATGCCATCGTGAAATGCAGTAACAAAAGGAGCCATTATGGCCATTATTATACTGCGATAACATAATTTTCAAGCTTCTATGATGTACGCACACTGCTCGTATCGTCATCTTCTTGAATCGGACAAGAACTCTGTTATTTAGCGCGTGTAACTTTTATTCCAAACACGCAACCTTCGGAGCACGAATCTCTCTATTTTATTGCAAGTATTTCGGGCAAGTAAATCTCATTTCGGGCACCCAACTGCCACTTCTGACACGTAAATTAATGTGAATTTAATACCACTTTGGACATTAAACCTTCTTCTCGTAACTCTTTCTGTCGAGCACCACATTGATGCAGCTCCTTTCTTTCGAAAACCTGACCCGATTTTTTCTTTTTGATACGAAAATCTCTAATAGCTATGGACAGTGTATAATATATCTTGTAACATAATGTTGATTAACGTTTTATAAAGCGCACGTCTCCAATAATTGTTGGGTGCGTACATGACGAGATAGCAGTCCAAGACAGCAAGGAGAACAGTGCCAGGCTGAAGGGAGAACAGTCCAAGATAGCAGGAAGAACAGTCCCAAGCTGCAGGGTGAACAGTCCCAGGCTGCAGGTTGAACACTGAACATTCCCAGGCTGCAGGGTGAACACTGAACAGTCCCAGCCTGCAGGGTGAACACTGAACATTCCCAGCCTGCAGGGTGAACACTGAACAGTCCCAGCCTGCAGGGTGAACACTGAACAGTC